CTCTCTCTCTCTCTCTCTCACACACACACACACACACACACACACACACACTCTCTCTCTCTCTCGTCTTTTCAAATAGAGCAGTCATTCTAATCGATCCTACGGTGAAATCAACTTTTGGCTGACGGCCACTTCAGAATTCTTTCTAAATTCGGCAATTAAAAAAAAAAAAAAAATCAAACCAAAACATACCCCTTGGAAGTCAAAAGCCCTTTCACCCCCCTTTAAAACCCATGTATACCCCCCTTCCCCCTTTTTAAAACCCATGTATACTCCCTCTACAAGCCACTCTGCCCATGATACATTCAAATGTAAAGCCCGGGCATTCTATTCGAATATAACACCTGGGCGTTATATCTGAAGGGACGTTCTATTCGAAAAAAAGTGAGTGAAAACCAAAATCTCATTTTTAAGGGTAAGTTGAATATGACGACTGGGCTTTATTTTCAGTTGAAGACGGTAGATGTCGAAGAAAATGACGAGACCACATCATCCTACGAGGTAGGCACACCCGAATTAGTGCTGATTGGGTGGACCGTGATACACAATCGATCATGACCCACATTGGGAACACAACGTCCGACCTCGAAATTGTGTTGGCTATTCTACACCAGAAAGCTTTTGTGTCCACTTCGTATCAAACATTTCTGACAAAATCCATGGTGCGAATTTGATATAACAAGCACTCGCTCCCAGTGCAACCTCGTAAAAAGCTATGAAACAGAAGACTTTTCTGAAGAGCTTAAACTGGAGCTTAATTGGCAAGTGTGAAGAGTCAGAATGGGATATCTCTCCTAAGTACCCAAAATCATGCCGTGAAATGGAAGCCACAAAATAAAGTCTCTTGGGTTAGGTGCAAAGCGCACGGAAAAGTATACCAATGAAGGATACACCTGAGACGCATTCTCTGCCGAGCCCCTAGCAAGGAGCTTGTAGAACGACTTAAGAAGTATGGATTTGTCAGACAAATTTACAAAGGTTAGGTATATATTTGATAGTAGGGGACTAAGGCCAAAGGGCCGCCGCCTGGCGGCGCCTATGGTCACCTCTTCAATCTGCGAAACATCGGAATCTGAATAATCGCATATAAATTATCACAAAAGGTGACTTCGGGCCCCGATCAAACAATTGTCCTCATAACCTACAAGCACATCCTCCCCCTCCCCGAGCCCCCCCACACTACATTCAGCTTCCAAACTTCTGGTTGATAACATGTCACAAGGTGATTTGGTGCATGTTCAACAAACAAATTGAGGGATAGATAAGGTTTTCAAATGAATTTGACTTTTTCTCCCAGTAGCTCCCCGTTGCAACGGGCGACGGATTCATCTGATGACTTGGTGCCATTTCTTCTGAGGGTCGTTCAGTGGCTAGAACTTCTCAGACAGAAACCAACCGCATGGCAGATGGTACAGGAGTGCCCTAGAGCAGAAAGAAGCAATCCGAGAGCCCTGCCAGAGCCTTTGCCATACTGTTGGGTCCAACAATATGCTGGGAGCTATGAATTAGTTCTATGTCATCAAGTATTCCGGGGAGAAAGGTACTCACATGTTCCCCTGTAACATAAGAGTATCACCCCATGTTCCCCTATAACATAAGAATATCACCTAAACAATATATTCATCCAATCAAACAATGTGTGTCTGTAGAGCTTTCAGTACCTGCTTTTGACCGTGCATGGCGAAGCTCCAATCATGACCTCAACCTCTGATGGGTCCCTACTAAAACCTGATCCTTCAATAGTTAGAGGTATTCCACCACTTGTCCCAACCAATGAAGGAGTTATGCGTGTTATCTCAGGGTGAACCTGCATTGACAGAACAATGCGCATCAGATCTCTCTCTTTTGCTTCTGGCCAAAACGAACAAAATGGGAGACCATAATAGGGAGAGGGGCACACAGAGAGAGAGAGAGAGAGAGAGAG